CCGTGAAATCTTCTCTGTCCGATCAATCCGATCATCTTTACCCACCAAAAAATTTTGTGAAAACTTGTCTAAAGAGAGGAAAAAATGTCAAAAAAAAGCGAAACATGGGGAGGTTTTGCCGAAATCGACCACGGGAGATTTCGGCATTTGTTACCCGCTGCGAACGCGCTGCTCGACATGGGAGTTTTTGGAACTATGTCGCCGCGAACGTGTTAATTTTGGTCGGGCTATACTCGTTCCAAACTTACAGGTGTCGAGAATACATAAAGGAACGCGCTCAATCGTGCGACAATAGCTCGAGTCGCGAGGAATGAACACGGCGCGCAGCAGTAGAGGTACTGCATCAGGCTTCCATTTTTGGGACACGCCCTGAGACCAGGCCTTTCATCCCTCAGGTCTGTAAATGAACTTGGGCCATGCTCTTACAACAACAAAAATCAGAGTTGAACAAATGCGAACTCCTTAACTCCCTCTCCGAACAGAAATCCAATAATTGTAGAAATAGACCAGCACTGATCATTTTCTCCACAAGCTGCCAAGAAACAAGGTAACGTTGTTGACACAGAAATTCGAGATGACTAGTTAGAATCATTGATTTGCAGGAACTTCTCTAGATTTTGATTATCGCGGTATGGATTCATCTCTACCGTACTTCGTGCCTCAGTTGCAGTAATAGGTGAGGACAGGTAACACCTACCTCATAGTGTTCGAGGCGAAAAATCGCTGCTTGAAGCATTTCTGGCGATTTTTCTCGAGTCGAACTCTCTTTTCGATCACATTCGGATGGTCTCTAGTCTTGGACTCTTTAGCGATTGTTATGTCACGATCGCTTTTCTGCAAATCAAAAACTTATTTGGGATAAAAAAATATCTAAAAATGTCTCTCACAATGTCTTTTTGAAGGAAATAGGCTCGTGGTTCAGGTGAATGGTCGTCTAAGTTGTAGCGAAGCACGAATTCCAGGTTATTTGGTGTGTCTCCCTTGCCTTCATATCGCAGACAAGTGTTGATGTTACGACTGAAAGAGAATGGTAGTCATTGTTGATTTCGGGGAGCGGGAACACTTGAAGAAGCTCTCCTCACCATGCCTGCTTGCCGATCTTGGCATCAACGTCACAGTTCTTATCCTCGATGTTGATCGTCACGCTGTCAGCGTCTGTTTGACCAGTAACCGTAACCACCGGCTTTGTGGTCAGTACAGCTGCTATGCCACTTTTCCATGCACCAACCGCCACATCTGAAGAAAACTACGCTTCGAGAACGCAATACAATCTTCCACTGAAAATTCGGGAGCAAAAGTGATTGGAAAAGGATTTCCACGTAACATTGCAATTGATATTTGAGACCTCCTGTAACCTGAACCATGATCTCTCTCTCTACGTTTAGTGTTTTTTTTTGTTCCAACTAAGTGAGAGGCGGAGTTCAAACTGCGAAGCTGGTCTATGGAGAGAATAGAGAGCTTCGTGCTAGTGCCAGTGTTTAAGAGGGCAGTTGGCAACGATGGTTTGCTACTTGGCCTAAATGCTAGTGCGCGCGCTGTATAAGGAGAATGGCGAAGAACGGAGTAAACGGTCAAATCCTGGGCAAGAAAAGAGCACGCTACCGTTCTGCAGTGAATTGTAAATCGATTTCGGACGAGTTTTCCTCGTAACGGCATCTGCCAATCACCGTACCCGAATATACGAGCCTATAGTGTGTGCCCTTATATGCATGCCAGCATGCACGGCCGCTTCATACCAATCCCTTCGCTTCATAATTTGCTTAGCAAATGAATGAATACGAGCGTCAGGAACGGTCGTCCATTTGTGGGCGGGCGGGCGTGGCGGGCGTTTGGGACGTAAAGTTGTGGCTTGATAGGGCCCTTATAAGGGCACCTTCCGGGAAACCGCTATGCAGCGCCTGCCCAGGGTCGCGGAATTCTATCCTGCCAGGAGTATTGATCCTAGTCGTCTTGGGGGATTTATCGTGCCAACTGCCTTTAAAGGAGCTTGGCGCGATAGTTCTCTAGGACGCTTAGGCCTAATACGCCTATCAGGAGTGGCAGTCGGCGCACCTTGAGAAAATCCATCCCAGAGATGACTTCCGGCGGTCAAGAAGGTTTGGGGCGTTGCAGGGATATGTAAGAGCTCAACGACTTCGCTGTTTATCGTCCCCTTTGTGGGATGCTCACGCATTCGATAAATTCCGCTCAGGAAACGTAGTAAACTCCTGAATAAGCTATGTATTGGTCAGTATTCTTATTCTCGACCAGACGATATCGGTACATTTTTATGGGTCTAAGAATAAAGGATAAAGTCTTCGCCGTTAAAATTATCATCATATCATAGCTTCCATTACAGACAATCGTAGTGGCTTATTGAATGCGAATGTGCCTATACAATTGACTTGCAGGGCACGATTGTACATAAGTCAGTGTTTGTATTCTCCAAGTCGAATTTGTACAATCGACGGTCCCGGAGCTAGAGTTGGTATAGGCCTGCTGGGCGGGTGTCGACCGCTGGATTTCGAACCAGGACCGCGTGCGAGTGTAAGCGCGCCAACTTGTCACTAAACCACTCCGCCTCATGGGTCTGATAGGGGTGGAAAATCTTGGCTAGCCGTCCGGCGTGACGCTCATTTGACGATTGTAAAGCCACATCGGTGGACGCAGTGGGCGTGGCTGCGTACTTCATTTGAACATGGCGTGGATACTCGGTTAATCTGTGGGATATTGTCATTTTAGAGAACAAACTGTTATCTCGCCCTTAGATTGGGCAATGGCATGATTTCAAGCAGCGGCCACGCCTACCGCATCTTATGGATTTGCAGTATACATGATCGTCACCCTTTCTATGATCATCTATTTCCATGTTCCGTTTCAAAGTGTTGGAGTTTTCGTCTCGTCGCTTCTTTTTGTATTCACAAATTAATGAAACACGAATGACCCCGGAATCGCCAAGCAAACGTTAAATGAAAACTCATAGGACGTCAGACAGGGTCAAAATAGGATAAAGTAAAAGATGCTGGTGAGTTGCAATGAAACGCTGACCACCCAGTTCTCTGCAACAACAGAATACGTCAAATGTTATGATCGCCCTTCGTCACAATCAATCATTTTTGAGGTGGTTGATGGGAAAAACTAGAGGTCAACCCATTTCTTTTCATAGAAAAAACGCAGGGGCATACTTTGCAAAGCTGTTAATGAGCTACTACATCAAGGGCCTACAGAAGAAGTGGAGTTTCAAGTCTGAATTCACCTGGCATTCCATTCCCGTCAATGTCGACACCGCCAGCGACAGCAAATCCGAATGACTTCATGCGTGGCCCGAATGCGCCACCTTCGATCTGAATCAACGGCACTTTTGACAAAAGTGAGCTACTACTTTTGAGAAACTTTTCTTGAAGTCTTCACCTTCTGCGTGTACTTCTGACGAACGCCATCTTTCGTACCGTGCATTAATGTAGACAGCTCCGGCTTGATTCTTTCCAGCGTAAGGCGCTCCAACAACGAAATCTGAACAAATTTTTTTTCAGAACCAGTTCAGTTCAACCACATTTTCGCAAGCTGTACCGTTATAACCGTCTTGGTTGAGATCGCCAGCTGCTGCCAAAGAGAATCCAAATCGGCCCCATTGGTCTTCTCCCAAAATCACTGACGTGCGATCAAACTTCCCCTGAAAGTGTTTCGTGTTGCATCTCAGTCATATCAAGTTGAGATCCCATTCGATTGTAATGGAACATATGGGATATTTTTACTGCATATGTGTAAACACAGCAGTGTAACATGAGAAAATGTAAAATATATGATATAGGAGAAGTGGGAGAAGAGGAATATGTATTTCCCTGCGTCCATTCAGTTAAAATAGAACCATACGACCCACTAAACTTGACGCCGTTTGAAGCAGTGATTGCTCATACCCTTAACTGACTGCGACCCATCTAATGAAAAAAAGCATGCGCTAATGATGTTGGCGGTGGGTGGTGGGTGCACACGTCGCGCCTCTGTTTTTTCCCCTCACCTAAGACTTACACATAGAGCGCAGACGACGAGAGTCACTGAGGTTCTGTACAAAACCTGCACAGAAGATACAATCTCCAAAAAGTTCAACTCCTGGTTGGGAGAGGAGCAGAAAAGCGCTGCCGAGTGGTCTCTCCTCTTAGTAGAATGGTGCTAAAACCAGCCGGCAAACGTGACGCACATGTGGTTTTGGTGAACATCTACAGTCTTGTTCGCTGCGGATCTGGGGCATGTCAGGATAGCTGATGGCGACTCGTTTCCCACCATCTGTTACTGCTTGCCCGCTTCAATCATTGGTGGAGAACGTGCTGGTGCCGCGCCAAAGCCGCCCTCTCCTGAAATGCCCCTGCGCTCGAAGCGAGCAATGCTGTAGTTCGTTCAGGAAATGCTATGTCTGCTCTGTTAGACAGGGCCCACTCTACTTGTCCGTTCTGTTAAAGAAGAGAGCGTATAGATCAGCGAGGGCATGCGGCGCAAGTTTGGTAAGTATTTCTTAGCTTCTCACTCGGAAAACCCTGCCGCGCTGAACCACCTGTGCCGTGGTGCGAATGTCGCGCATGTAGCGTCAGGCAAGCCTTCTCCATAGTCTGGATCTGTAGACTGAAGTAGATTCGGGAAGACAGTATCATTGTCTAGGTGGTAAGGGCGCTGACAGGCTTAGGCGCGTCGCCGCAATTGCCCCCATAACTGAACTATTTCTCAGGCTTATCTTTAATGCAGAAAATGGTTGGAATTAGCGCTGGATTCTGTCACACATGCTGTCATTAGGGTGCCACGAGTCGAGAGTAGGGAAAATACGGCTTTAGTGGTCGACTGCGCTGTTCCTTCAGCATGGGTAGTGGTCTTTTTTTTACCCAAGGCATAGGCAGCAGGCGGCAGCGTTCAGACTTCGCGACCGCAGCTCTTCGGTCGCGCGTTCGACGCGATCGATGCGCATGCTTTCTACGGCATCGATTGCGCCGAACGCGCGACCGAAGCGCTGTCGCGAAGTCTGAACACTGCCTAAGAAGAGCAAGGGCGATTAGCGTAACATAGGGTCGCCGAGTGGCCGTCACAAACTATTGGTACTGATAGATATTTAATACAAAAATGTTTCGTTCCTTCTGCAATGAGGATAAATGAAGTAGCACGACCCAGACGGTAGAGGAGCCCCACAAATGGCCTCGCTTTTAGGTTCTTTTTTGCCTCTTATCTTCCTAGGTTTGTTAAGAACTTACCGGAGCAGTTTGGAAGAATATCACGACCTTGCCGACGTCGTACTGTGGCTTTCGCTCTTGCGTTTTAGCATCTTTTACGGTGACGTAATCAGTGTAGAAAGGACATCCCATGATGATGTCGTCACGCCTGAGATTTCACAGCGCTTTAGTGGTTTTCACAGCGTGAGTGAATGGCTTGGAAAGGTATGACCCTTCGGAATGACTTACCCATCCTTGTTCAGGTCGGTTACGGCTAGACTACTGCCACAGTACTGCCCTTGTTGTGAAGAAGACGGGTCGGTCAGATTCACCAGCATCTTCAGCTTCGAGGTATACAGCACCAACTAGAATTGAACAGCATACGATCTAGCAAATATTCAGGCTTTGAAAAAATTATGTTGCGGCAAAAAGGGGCGTGGTTATCTGGGGGCGGGGCGTGTAATGAAGCCTACTTGTACAACACGTATACGTGCGGTGGGCGCTTCGCTCAGGATTGCAAAAAAACCGCTCCGCGGAAGAACGCTAAAAAAGGTCAAATGCATGTTAAAGTTACAATTTTACAATTTACAATTACATGTCTCGCCCCAGATAGCCGCTCCCCTTTACTGCAATATGTACATTACATCGATATTACACACATTATACGCAATATAGTGCAGTTGTACTAGTTTTTTCCACTTTCCATTTATTATACATGTACATCCTCGAATGCACTTTTATTAGGCAGCACAGATGACTCTGCCCCCGACGACTCCGCCCACTTTAATGGATTTATTAATGAACTTACTTTGCCTGCCAGTTCGTTGCCACGGGGCACACCGGCCACAATGTCGTCAACTCCGTCGCCGTCCAGATCTCCGCTAGCAGTTGCATAGCCTTAAAAAACTCCCTGTAACCGTAGAGCTACCCAGAGAAGGTCCTTAATCACTCACCCATCATGTCATGATCGTACTCCTTCCCACCGTACTCGGTGTTCGGCCGATCTGTGAGGTTTTTGATGTTCTGACTGAATATTGCTCCTTGCCAGTACCACACTCCGGGAGCTCCGATGAATGCCTGTAAGAAACCGGAACGTGCTGAAGTCTAAAAAGAATTTCGAAAAATCTGAACAACTCACTCGCTCGTCCGATTTCGTGTACCTATCTGGGAGAGCTGCCGAGAAACCACACTGACCGTACCCGAATCGATGACGACCATGGCGAGCGGCTAAAAAGTTTTCATTACTCGGCTGATGTGGTGTGGTATAATCTTCAGGACTCACGTTCTTGTCGGCATGGAGAAAACTCTTGAGCGTCAGCAAAACCATTCTCGGCAAAGAAACACGAGCCAACAGGTTCGATCACTTCGAATTTCGAGAAAAAGTACTTGTACTTGGGAGCGCACATCTGGAATGGTTGGGCCATAGGAGGAGTAAATGATATCAATAGTAAAGGCTATAGTGCAGCAGGACAAAAATTACGGTGGGTCTGAGGTAACCGCACTCACCAAGAGTTTATCGTGCTTATTGTTTGACTTGACGGTAGCACCAAAGAACTGGTAGGCCTTGTCCTCGATCGGAGCGAGTGTTGAGCCATTCAAGCGATGCTCGTTACCTCCTAAACAAAGTAAAACTTTTCTATGATACAAGAAGGATATGGCGTATGGTTCCCTAGGTGCTGAGTTTCCAGCTGCCCCGCCTACCTCCAAAGGCAGTTGGCACGATAAATCTTCAAGAAGTGCAGGACAAGACGCCTAGCAGGGCAGAATTCGGCGCCCGTGAGCAGGCGCTGCGTGACGTCCTCTCCTACGTAGCTACCTTTATAGCACCCTATCAACCCGCAACATACCGACCTAGAGGCCCACCGCGTCCGCCCGCCCACAAATGTCCGACGGTTCTGGCACTAGTATCACTTCATTTGCGAAGTGTAATATGGGGCGAAGGGACTGATATTAAGCGGCTGCGATTTACACGGATTTGTGTGGACATACATGCAGCCGTATCGTCGCAGCAATTATTGGCACGATGCCAATGAGAAACTCGTCCAAAACTACCTCTGTAAATAAGGTTTTTTTTCGAGTTTTTTTACCGTTTCACTTTGTTTTCTCGTCCCCATATAGCACCCCTGATACCATTTTAGACCGAGTACCAAAATGCCTTATGCCTTTAACTGGGTAAGGTTAGCGACACGTGGTGTCAACCACTCACTCGACACTAGTCACTGCATCATGGGAAAACTGCTGTATAGTAACTCTACCAGTTGACAATTGCGGCTTTGTTACCAAAAAGCGCTCTCAAGTAAAGGAGGTGCAGGATTGGCAGCCACAATTGGTATGGCTATGTCATTCCATTCGAGAATGACTGTTGAGTCAGGGCTATCGCCGATCCGATGGTCAGACCTGGTCACGTTTCCCTGAACAATGGCACGCATTTCCTCGTGCTCCCGAGCACAGATAGCCCATCTGGGCAACTCTAGACAGTTTCGGGAAAGACGGTGACTTTATGTGCCCTTGTAGGAGATCCTCGATTGCCAGAGGAGCACAGGTGGTACAAGCAGCCTGTGCCAGGACGAGTTCTTGAATCTTCTAGCTGGGGACTGCTTGAATGTCCATGAAGTCAGAACGTCGTGTATAGAGGAACCTTTTGGTTTTCTACGTATTTTGACCACATCCTTGGTTTTTGTTACAAAAAAAAATTGAAGAAAGGAGTGAAGTCGCTGTTTTGAAGGGTTCCATTGCTTCATTCACATTCACAACTGCTTGAATTACCTCGGCTAGTTTATTCTCTCTCATCCAAAGCTTTACGCTGTACAGTTGTGAAAAACGCTGAAACATCCCTCACGCCTCTTTCACGAAAACAACAGATTACTTGGAAATGAAGAAATGAGCACAACATTGCTTCCCTAGGGTTTCGAAGAGTGTAGAACATAGATTACCCGGTAAATGAGTGGGAGGACAAGGAACGGAAGAAAAAAAAACGAAACGAAAGTTTAGGACTGAGCAGTAGTGGCCACAAAGGTTGCTTTCCCTGTGATGAACCTCCTCCCTCTTCTCAGTCCTTCGGCATCAAGCAAATCCCTTATAGGTACTGAACGAGGTCTGCTAGGGCCCCTTCAAAGGCACTCTTGAAAAGCACACAACAATGGAGATGCTTGGAGTCCAATAGAGTGTCTGTGAGCGCAAGGGGGAAGCAAATTGCAGGAAGGGCGCACTCATAGTGGACCTGACTCTACAAAGAGGTTTCCGCTCATTAAGCAACCATTTGGCTCCGTCTGAGATGAAGGACAAAGAGCTAAATATTGCAGGGAACGGAAGTCTAAGATATTATGCAGTGCCTTGATAAACAGGGCCACGTCGTACTTTTAGGATCTCAAGCGAAAGGAGTCCTGCACGAGGGGTGTTCCATGTGTTCTCGGAATAGGTATGATAGAGAAAGTTTTGACTAAAATTTATTTTTCAGTGTAGTCCCCAATAAGCTCAATACTTTTATTTGCTCGGGAAATTAACATTTCACCCCCCCCCCTTCCGAAAATATTTTGGGTCGTTGTCACCGAAAAGTGCGTTGACTGCCGCCGTCAACTCTTCATCGTTCATAAGTCGCATCAGTTATTCTGGTTTTCTTTCACCAAGGATAACTAGAATACCATGGATGATATCTATTAGGTCATCCCATTCAAAAGTGCCGAAGATCTTATTCATATAAAACGAAGAGAAAAACAGATAGAAAAGTAATATTTTGGCTTTGAGTTAAGTAGATCCCTCCTTCACCAATGACCCGCTCCCAGTGCCCCGAAAGCCTTTGGACCTCTGGTACCTTCGATTTTTCAACAAGTGCGAGTAAATTGCTGTTGATGCCAATTTCGGCGAATGACAAAACATTGTAGCGTTTGCCGTCGGAGAGTACCCTCGACTGACCAGAACAGTTGGAAATCGAACGGCTTTATGTTGGGAGCGAATGGGGCAATTGAACCCAGGTCTCAGTATTGTTTGTGTCCCAGCACTGCCCTACAATACAGTTACTCGGGGTCTGGCACTATGGCGAGCAACGGTGGCCTTCTTGTAGTTGTGTGGTAGCCGTCGCTTTGTCGATACTGAATTGTCGAAGGTTCAGGCCAATATACACCGACAGCGACGATTCGTTCTCATATAAGAAAAGCTGCTTGAAGCCAACAGTGTGGGAAATCTTCGGCTATGATGATCACCGCACGTAAACTTCCTTTCCACTGGTAGAACTCGGCGGCTCCTGCATCGCATTCATACAAAATTGAGCAGTTATGAGTTTGGCTAAGAGTCCAAGACCAGCCATATTTCATCTAGAGCCGGGGTGCGTTTTCAAAGTCGCGAATGACATCTCATGCTGAGAACATTACTGCTAGAGGCATAGAATCGGTACTGCGTTCGTGCTTCTACAAGAAAATTAGGTACCCATGCGCACACCCTCTTGACCATCCTCAGTTTATCGGACATAACTCGGGCAGCAGTTGCAGCTGGGATGTCAGACTCGCGGGGAAGCTCGACAAAGGTCCAGGCTCTGTGATCAGATATTCAGTGCCTTGACTTCATCTACCCTTTTTTCTTGTGCAGGATAAACATTATGGGACCATCCACGACAACAAATTTTTTTCCTTTCTTCCTTCTTCGAGCTCTGAACCAAATCTTCCACCGTGTGTTTCGAGAACACCCTTACACACAACTATGGTCCGGCGCAGGTCAAATTTGAGCAGCGCACTTTCCTCTTATGACGTCTGATTTGAAAATCGGGCGCCTGATTTTCACCACTCGGGCTTCTTTTCAATTTCTCGAGAACTTCTTCTGTGGGTAGGTTCCACAGATTACATAAGCTAACAGTGCTAGCCTCCAAATGGTACAGTACCGCTGCTCTATCCCCTCTGCTTTTCTGCCATTTCTCTGTATGTCTCAGCACTTTTGAATGGGATGACCTAGCAAATGAAATCTCGTATTTATACCCTTAGGTGGTGTCGTTATCTACTAAAATGATTCAAATTCCTTCACTGCTAAATTACTCCGATGCAAAAAATACTTTGCCCGGCCCTCGTATTTGGTCGCTGGAGGCTGCTAGTGGGGTAGTAATAATGCTTTCCGCGAAAGACGTGCAGAAGGTTGTTGACTTCCCTCGGCTTTTCCCGTTGCGGGTTTTCCTATGCTACGCTTATATGCCCCCCTTCTGCTCGACGGCAGCTCTCTGGTGAAAAAGTGGAGTTTGAAAAATTTTGAAAAAAAAGATTTCCGCCGATAAGGGTGGCAGCGTTTTTATTCCGGAACTGAACACTTTAGGTGGATAAGTGGGGAAGGGCAAGTTGAGCAGTCGTACAGCAATGAAGAATAATTCCAAAAGGGGGTTGTGTTTTGCAAAAATTGTCTGCAACTGCAGGACCAGCTGTTTGATAAATCACCTTTAGCGACAGGGCCTTTAAGCAGCTAGCATTATTAGAGAGGGGGGGGTTGTGGGGGGGGGAGGTGCCTGAAAAGGTGTCTTTCTGGGCTATTGTGTCGGTCATTCAAAGTCATGCATGCCCTTGGGGTACTTATGAGGTTTCGGGAGTCATTTCTTTGTCGGGTGATATCGCATTCGATTCTGTGGACACCCCGGCATAATGCGGCCGGCATAATGACGATTTTACAAGGGGCCACAATCGGGAGCGATAAATGTCGTTGATGGTGGCCATCGAGCACTCTAACTTCGAATCCGCTCCCGTTCCGTAATATTCGGATTTTGAAGCTCATCCGACGAATAATGGACCGTCAATAAGGGAAAGAGTGGTGTGGAAAAATTTTCTAAATTCGACACCACCTTCTGCTATTTACAATACGACCCCCAACTTCTGTCAACGACCACCGAAGTGTAGAGAAACACCTCATGAACTACCAGAAAAAATATAAATTGCCGCGCGATCTACTGGCGGTGGGAGGGCGGTGAAGAATACTTTTATTTACTTTACAGTTTCCTTTAAGAAGTTTGCCCAAAACAACATCCGAGAAGAACCTTCCTGGCAGCATAAATGAGCGCAGTTCGTGCGACGGGGGGGGGCAGTTTATACATTCATTGCTTCAGTAGTTCAGGTTTACCAGTTTCACGGTGATGAAACTTGTGAACTCTCGTGAAGCTGGAGCATGGTGGTCAAGCCATCATGGTAAAACTTGTGAACTCGATACCAAAAGAGGCTGGCTAGATGGGTCGACAACGTCGATGGGAAGTAGGCAAAAGTGCGAACGTTCCCCCCCTCCCCCCCGCCAGGTCGCGCGAACTGCGCCGCAATGAAATGTATTGAAAGATGTAGAAGTTTAGAAAGACTTCCGTGCTCTGAGGACACTTCTTTACATTATCTCAGAGACAGTCAGGGGAGCTTGAGATGTTAAAAATCTCATTTCGGCGAGCGCGTAGGTAGGCGCACTAAGCCCACCCAAGCCTAATACCGATAAGAATCTTGGTGCAATAATTCTTCTGTTCATCATAATCCCAGTTCCGCACAAGGAAGAATGTTGCAGCTGCTGGGGATTTTGCTTGTGTCCGTACGACCCTCCCCTCCCCCTCCCTAAAAGGTGGCTTGGGACGACCTTACCATACCTTTTTTTGAAAGGTTTCGCTTTGATGTTTTCTAGGCATGTCAAGAGGCTGAAGTTTTCCGGGAAACATGAACCCTCCCCCTTTTCCATCCTACCTACCACTCTCCTAGATTTTCCTAACTTCCTACTACTTTTTCCGGAAAGGTTTCCAACGTTTCAAATTTACACCGCGGATTTCTCGTGAAGGACAAATATGACCCCCTCAACGAGCAACACGATCACTGTCCTGGGAATTTCAAAGAGGACGGAGTGCCCTGTGAACAGCCGTGTCCTCCGTTTTCCACGGTGCTTCACTTCGCGGATATGTTTCTGCAGGGCCACGTTCAAGCTGTGTGAGTCATTTGACTCACTAGAGCTTTCTTTCTCCTCTAGGCTTGCGCAGAATCGTTTCCTGACCGATCACAAGAAAAAGGAAAAACGTTTGTGGTGGGTTCAAAAGCCTTGGGTGCTTTGTACCGAAATGCACGCCTATGCTGGACTGGAGCCAAAATTTGTTTCAGTGTTTGCAAAATGTAATTATAGGTTAAAGTAAGAGGGTAGTCAAGGATTGGTACACTTCTCGGCAGCACCTGAATGTTAAACATTCTGAAAATCCACAAATTCTCATCAGCCTTTATGAACAAACACACTAGGAACGACCCTGCGAGGGAGGTGAAGCCCTGATTAAGACGTCTCGCGCCCTTTACTGACCATATGGTCGCATTTCGAGCCATAACAAATGAGTTTCGCAACCCATGGGCTTCCGGCTTCATTGATCAGTGAACCCCGCTCGCAACTACTCGGAAATGCCCCCCGCGCCATACTATGGGATGATGCGGGAGACCCTCGAAAGTGCTCATCAAAAAGTCATGGAAAGTCGGCTGTCGCGGGTAGTGCTGGATAAGAATGGAGAAAAACGTACTTTTCTTATCAACGTGCACCTCCCGGCAAGTGGCCTTGTTCACGGAGCAGACGTAAACGGCTCCCGGTCTCCGAATCCCTCGTAGATTGGGATTCGTCGTCTCGGATTCAGGAGCACCGACCACCAACCTGAAAAGAATAAATTTCTGCGAAAAGATCTTATTGAGTTATTGATCCGTTTGTGCTGTTCAGATCGATATAAGAAGTGGGGAGTTTTCCTATAGCGAGCGGCCGACGCGAAAGAGGCTGTGTAATCTCTGGGTGGCTTTTTGTAATGCTCTCGTCTCTTTCAGAGTCTGTGTTTTATAAAAGAAGCATTGCAAAATGTAGGGCAGCGCTTAAGTGCACATTAAGAGACACGTGACGTTTTGGACTAGAAATTGTGGGGAAAATGGAACAGGACTGTCTCCCGGGCGCAGTTCGGCGACGGGGGCATTTTGCACTTTCATTGCTCCACTAGTTCCGGTTTGCATACTTTACCTGATGAAACCTGTGAACTCCTGTGAAGCTGGAGCAAGCTCATCGAGCCACAATGGTGAAACCTGTCAACTCACGAAAAGGCTCTCTAGATGGGTCGACACGTCGATGGGAAGTAGCAAAAGTGCAAAATGCCCACCCCCCGTCGCCGAACTGGGCCGTCTCTGCGCTTCGAACTGCACTTACACTGGCATTCCTTTCTCTTCGTTGTAGAAATCGAGTGAGTAACCGAAATAGCCGGCGGTTGATGTGTGGACGACGGCATTCTTTGTGTCGATGTTGAAGGTCGTGACAACGACCAGTAGGCTGGACAACACCAGCCAAGCCGTCATTACCTGTCACATAAAAAATCAAATAAGCAAAAAGCAAAAAAAAACAAATATAAACGCAGCGAAGCGACACGAAAGTGAAACGCTATAGAAATCAGAGCACGTCCTAATGCTGAAGGAAATTTTCGGAAAATACGACCCCCCCCCAATTCCCTTCCCTGATACGATTTGTATAGCGCGGTGGCCAGGAGTTTCTGTCAGAAATAGATCTATTACGCACGTCAAGAGCGTCACCTCCAGAGTGGAAATTTTGACCGAATTTAGCGCCACAGTAAAAAATTGCGGTCAAAATCAGGCCTAGGTTTCGAGCAGTAGGACAGTGAAGGGTAGGAAGTGCCTTTGTGGCCAAGACTTTCGCAAGCTCTCGTCGACAACTCGGTTCTGGGTGCGCTGCGGAGAGCAGCTGAAGAAACTCTTGGGAAAATACGACCCCCCCCCCTAATTCTCTCCTCTGATACAACACCTCTTCCCCATCGTAGCTACCACAGTCCTAGATTTTCCCAACTTCCTAACCCTTTTACCAGTTTTTCTGGAATTTCCCGGGAATCCTAATTCTTCCCCGGAATTTCGGTGTCGAGCGGGGTGGGAGAGGTCGTGAGTACAACTACTAGTTTCAATTATAAGAAATAGTGGTTTCGAAGAACATGGGCGGCGCGTCGCTAACTAGGGAGGTAGGGGGAGGGGGAGGGGGAATTTTCTCAGACCAAATGTGATCCCTCCTCCCTCAGCGACCAAATACGACTCCCTGCTTAGGATTCCCCAACATACGACGTAGTCTGATAGAAAACTTCTTTTTCGTAAAAAGACTCCTTTGGGAGGAGACTTGCTTATCCTTCAATTCCAGAGTCTCCTTTTTACCTTTTGTCACTTTTCTCTGATCGCGAGCGCGTTTTTTTCTGATCCGATCGCTGCACTGTACTAGGTCGGGAAAATGTTCTGCAACACTTGGGAGGCAACTTTGAATTGGATATTCCTTTAACGACCGAGAAGTGCAATCAACGAGTTGCCGTAGGTTTCTGGGACAAGTGTCTATCTGCAGGGCAGCTTCTCGTTTCTGACCTCCCAGATCGGCTTACTACGATGAAAAGAAGACCTCGTCTCATTCTCGAGTTCAGGTCAATTATCAGTTTTCTTTTTCCTAAGTGATGCATTAGGTCCCTAACAGGAGGTAGCCAGAAACTACCAGGGCTAGTGAGCAAGCTGAATATGGGTAGGTAAATCCCCAACCGAGATCCGAATTCTGTTAGATCCATATTCTGCCACATGTAGGGCGCTGCCTGGCAGAGGATTAATCGGCCTTTTTAGGGTGAAGTTCACATGTGACGTCAGCCATCTTTTGGAGTCAATTAGAGTAGACTTTCAACCAACAGTGCAACTTTCCAGCCCTATCAGCAACGCATTGAGCCCTCTTTTTCATTGTGAACTTATCATTTGCCAGCTTTTTCTCCTGAGAGAATCAATGCGAGCTTTATGCATGGGTTTAATAAACTGGATAGCTAGCGTTAGCTACCTAATAACGAAGGGCTTTTAGCTGTGCCCCGGTGAGAAAAATCTGAACCAGCTATCACTAGGAGTTGGAGGCTTACTGCGGGATCCTTCCATTCGAGTATCTTTCGCTACCACCAACTGCGGTATCGCGTGGCGTGAACAGAATGCAACCTGAACAATGGGTTTATACCTCATCTGGACGTATGCCTCCGGGGGGGGGGGGCTAAGGAAATCCTTCGAAGTGCTGTAGAAGTTTGCTTACCCACCTAACCATTGAAGGCTACGGCTATCGCACTTTTTAGCTCGAACCGCGGGTCAAACTGATGATTCATCCTCTGGTGGCACTAGTCTGTACCATATGACTTGCCTTGGGAATCTGAATGATTGACACATATAACACTTTGGTTCCTCTGGTTCCCGCTAGTGCATCAGGCAAATTATGCAGCACACTTATCGTCAACATTCGAATCGAATTCGGGTGTACGCGCGGCATCCAGGAATTCACCGACTGCGGACAACAAATTCCTCTGAGCTTGCAGTTATTCCTAGCATCTGTTCCACATATCCACCTCCACACGCTTCTACAGTTGGGGACAGGGCGCATCACCGCTTGTTCGTGTTCGCCAACCGGAAGGAGGGGAGATCGTATTCAGCGGGAAACATTTTTATTGGGATTTTTAGCCGTTTCGAGGCAACGTCCCTGTATAAGCGCCGCTAAATAGGTGAAGTCGCGTTGCCAGTTTACTCGCGTTTACATAACACGTCAAAACCCCGCGGATGCGCGTGGGCATGACCTGAACACTTCAAGTAAATGTGGCCGGCTACTTTTCGTGAGGATCTTTGATTTTGGGACACGCTGTAATAATCTGTGTGGGTGTCCCAGCCAGAACAAGATGACAGCTGTCCGAATTGAAATACCCCCCACGAGCGAACTAATCCTATGCCATTTACGAGAATGTCACTGCCCATTTCTTCTAATGGATAAAGAGTGGTCATACTCATCTGTAGAATCCGATCAGGGGTCGTACTCTGGGTCGATAAAACATTTGAAGAGTACTGATTTTTCTCCCCTCTCGCGCAAGATGTGCCCCTCTCCTAGTCGACACTGCAGTAAGAGTAGCATTTTGCGAATCGTTGGTAGGAGTGTCTCTCCTCCCTTCTTTGAGAATTTGCTGAGGTTGTGGGGAGAAGATCGTGCTATGACTCTCTTTTGGGGGTCCTCGTTCTGACACTACTATTACACTGATCCTGATAATGCCCCTGGTTTTTGGATTAGCCGAATGGAAGAACCAATATGATGCAATCTTCTCTCGTCGTCCGAGGGAAATAAGGTGAAAAGAGGGTCGCAGGCTTCGTATAAAATTCCTCCGCGACCCGACTAGTACGCGAAGAGGCTGCGCCAAAACTGGTCTTTTCGAACTTATCCATTTCCCCGGCCTGATTATGCCCTACTCTACTAACAGATAGCAGGTCGACATACTCAACTTTTCTATGGTTCGTGAAGTGGGGGAGGAAGATAGGGTTCAGAGAGGTTCCGAAAAAATTCCCGCCGATCGATTATACGCCACCCTCAATTCTCGGGTCTCGAGGTGTTAATGGTACTGTAAAGAAGTACTGAGGTAAGTAAGGCCCCCAAAGGAGCTGTCTCAGAATAAGGGATCTTGAGAAGTACTATTTTTCTTCATGGGAGACCTTTGACCGTAGAGCGTTCAAGGGCAATCGCAAGACAGAAAAAGTTGGCAGATCCCGACCGACTGATTGGCGAGAGATAAAATGCCGAAAGAATGAAAAAAGCACAAAGTTGTGATAAACTCAGAGGTATGTTGACACTGTCTCAATGTAAAGAATGAAAAGCAAATATTTAAGAGAGCTGTCGGAGGATGAGGACACCCTCCCTCAGTCAACGAGGCGTGGGAGCAGATCGCCAGTGGTGGCGCAGTTCGGCGACGGGGGGGGGGCATTTTGCACTTTCACTGCTTCACTACTTCCGGTTTACAAGTCTCACTCTGGTGAAACTTGTGAACTCTTGTGAAGCTGGAGCAAGCTCGTCTAGCCACCATGGTAAAACGTGTAAACTCAGGAAAAGGATATCTGGATGGCCTTTCCTTGAGTTGACACGTTTTCCACAGATGGGTCGACACATCGATGAGAAGCAAAATGCACCCCCATGGCCGACTGCCTCGCTAATGGCAATTGTCCGCTAGCCAGAAAACCGATGCATGTGTTCATAATGCATGGATTAGACGAGTAATTAACCATGCAAATGTTGATGAATCGGTCAAAATGAGCGCACGCCTATGCGCGACCACTACCACACCCATGTCACAGTTAACGCGGCGAACAATATACGACCAGTAATTACGTAGTTAAAATCGGGACGGATGACTAAGTTAATTGGGTTGGATAGGTGTGACATGCAGTAATGCAAGACGACATGCAACGTTCCGAAAGATTCTCACCAACGCGGCTGCTCTCCTGACCTCTCAGCTTCCATTCCACGAGAGAGTCCGAAGTCTCTCCGCCTCTGACTCCACTAATTCTCCGAGCACAACTCAGTCACTAGCTGGGCGTCTGACCATGTCGTTGACCACAACTCCGCCTCCACTCGCCCCAGAATCCCAAGGCTCATACAGGCGCGCGAGGACGAGTGTAAAAATATCGTCGGCGATTATAAACAATAAAGTGGAAGTACACGTTTTGTGCAGGCATTCTCACGTAGTAGAGGGGAGCAGGGAGTAACACTAGAAACCAGGGCTTCTGGCTGCTTCTTGGCTATATAAATAAGCAAATAATGCTAAGAGTACCCTGGGGGGTCAACATAGCAACATAGCAGAAACATTGATGGCTTCGATTTCAACTACTGATTTGAAGCAGTGGGAACCTGGAAAGGGGATGACCACAAAAAGCAAGAGCTAAGTCTTTTCTGGCGAGTAAAAAGTAGAAAAAAGTAGGAAATGGTCTGGGAATAAGGGGGGACGGCTTTCAATTTTTGCTGTATTGTATCACCCCTACTTGGTGTGGAAGCTCCTTTGTCTCTCAGAGAATTCCAGCAGAGGATGAAACGTACGGTGTGCGTTTATGAAGGCAGACGGAGAGTGTCAGACGCGAGGGTTCCATAGGAGAGGGCGGCATGGTGCATTTTGCGATGGGGGAGGGGCATTTTGCCCTTTCGCGCCTCCACTCAGATACACGCCTAATTTGTGGTCAAAAACAACTCCGACCCGGCTTATGCGACAGATTATTTCCGCTCGACAAAACCGTCGCCCTTTGCTCATCACATCCAACTGCCGTAAAGCAAATGATCCAATTCCTCTGAAGCTTATAACTTGAATGAGTCAGCTCTTAGGAATGAACGAAGTCCACTGATTGTGAAAAGATTCAATCATAACACCCCAGAATTTCCACCCCATTTTGGTCTTATTTTTGAAGAGCCATGATTGATGGTCTCCTATTACACTAGGGTGGTACCTGGCGCCTACCGATGTTCATAAACTCAGTTCAACTGCGTGATTCAA